AAATAAAATGAGAAAAAGTAAGATTAGTTGTCCTCAAATTTTCAATTTGAATGTCCCAGTTATGGCGAGAAGACTATTTTTTAAAACTAAATTAAAACTCGCATATCACATAACTTAGTGCACCAATATCATTTTAAATATCTTCAGAGCTTACTCAATTTCACATGCATAAATGATTGAATAAAAAAAAAATTAATTTTTTAAAAAATGATGAATAAAAAAAAAAGGATAAAAGCGTGTATATAAATATGTAAATATTATATATGAAACTTTATAAAAAGATTAAAATGAAATTGTTTAATTTCATATTGTCACGTTGAGAAATAATTCTAGAAACTAGTTGTTTTAATTTTACGAATAATAACAACATAAGCAGTTATTTTAAAGTAAATAATTGCACTTTTCACAAGATAGAATCGATAGAATTAAAAGCAAATATAAGTAACTCTAATGTTACGGATTTACACAATTTAAGTTGAATAGCTTCTTCTTCTTCTACTTTTTTTTTTTTTTTTTTAATTAGATTTTATTTCTAATTTACAAGTTACATACTATTTAAGATTTTTATAAATAGTTTATAATGCTATTAATAAAATACATATATTTTCTGTTAATGCATATACTTAAACGATTCTATTTTTTTGTTCTGTTTTCCTTTTTTTACAAATGAAAGTTTAATGTTTTTTATTCCGTTAGATTGAAACAAAATTGCTTACATCTTCACATAAAGTTTCCGATCGGATGGCGATTCAGAGATTTTCATTTTGACTCAATAAACATGTTACGTCAATAGTACATAGAGTACCGAATGGAACATTCGACCATTTATTAGTAAAATTTATTCAAAACAATTAGAAATAGTGGCAAAATTGTATCCTAAAACTTTATAAAGTTTATTAGTTTATAATGAGATTTTTATTGTCACGGCTGATTCTTTTAAAATTAAAATTTATCTAATCAAATGTCATTGATTATATCATCAATCATAAATAACGAGAGATTGGATTAATTTCTATTAATAGTATGTTGAGTAAAAAGTCGATATTGATTGATAGATAATGTAGACAAGACCGTTAAGAACATTGGGAAAGATTTAGCAAAAGTTTGATTTGCGCGATTTCTTTCGCGGTTTAGATAAATGCATGGGGGCCAATTGAAAAAGAAGTCAATCGATTCCCTTAAATGTCACTTGTAAAAACTGCTGTCTCAGCCAATATCAAGAAAGTTTGAGATGAGAGCCGTTACGTTACATGTTACTGTACCGAGGGGAAAACTTACCTCTTCCAGCGAAGCTCCTCGAAAAACCGTCTAAATGTGTGAGTGCCCCTGTGCGTGTAAAACGAGAGTCCAGTCTACATACGCTTAGTGACTGTGACTCCACGTTAAACGCACCTGCGCCACTCTCTCCCTCCCTCTCTCTCTCTCTCTCTCTCTCTCTCTCTCTCTCTCTTTCTCTCTCTCTCTCTCTCTCTCTCTCCCTTCCCTATTTCTTTAGTAGAACTTCCGATTCATTAATTAGAAGGGCGTGACAGTTTCCTTTTCTTTTTTTTTCGCCTATGCTTCGATTTTATTTTTCAAGTAGAAGCTGCTTTACACCCAGGAATACTTAATACGAATGTGACACTACTCTGGCACTGCATATATTTGTTTAAACAGTGTTTATCTTAAACAACATAAAACACCATTACTCGTGCACACATCAATTATCGTAAGATAATTGGTAATTCATTTTAATAATAAGAGAAGTATTAATAAATTAGAATAAACGCGACCGAAGGCTTGAGGATAGTGACGTCAATCTGGCGTACCGCATTCGCCTCGTTCTACTTAAGATGCCATATAAATTCAGCTTTCGCGAGATTTAATCAACCATAACTGCATTCCTCTTGTCATTCCTTAGTGTAAAAGTCATAGATTTTTCTTAATAAATATTTTCATTACTCTAATTGACGATGTAGTTTTCGTGTAGCTTTACGGATGAGATGCGAATTCCTATAAGCTGCGTGCATACCCTATCCCAACATATCAACGATTATTAAAAACAAACAAAAAAGTCACTTGGTTTTTTGTTTCCAAGCAGGTTTATTAGCTATGCTTATCAAAGAATGAAGTACGCGGAGGTGGCTTTTGTGTAAAAGTACGAGGAGCAGGATGGCTGAGCGAATGCGCGCCAACATTTTTGTGCCCTAGGAATAAATCCCTTTGACGTTGCTGGGCTCTGCGCTGGGAATAATTATCACGGGCACAACTTTATTACCACGTGTACGTGAGCTCGTAGTCGCGATATTAATAACAACGAATTCGCGTCACGTGCCACCCACTACCCCACTACCTCACTAATACGCTCGCTATCAATACATACGAGTGAGCCGTTAAGAAGACGCGCATTTAGGCCATCGGTGATCGTCCCTATATACCCCGGCGATTAGACCCGCTGCCCACGTCTAATTAAGGTATGACTTTAATTACCTACCGTGGCTGAGGCGCCCCAAGCCAATGAAAACATCAACGACGAAATCCAGAAGCGCTCGAAAGTTTCGACTTTCTCTCGTCCCCTCCCCGGGCGCAGCGTGCGTGCCCGGCTGAACGATCGTTAAGCTGTTAAGAAGAATTATTAATGAACTTGAAAAATTAATAAATTCAAGCCGATGCATTATTTATAAATGTGTTAGCATGAACTCCCGCGGCGAATGATTTATCCCCGATATTAATAACTGGGGAGAAACGCGAAAAACTTTTCGCTAATAAGTTTTATCTGCGCGCGATCGCTATTACCGGCTACTTAATATTTAAGGGCGGAAGGCTTGTATACGATTCAGTCGAGCATCCGCGCGCAAACTTCCACAAGCGATCCGCGAAATTTACAGGCTCTCGACGCCGAGCTCGCTTAAGAAAACGGGCCGCTTCTCCCTTTTGATCTAATGTCTTTATAAAAAGATCTCTCCAACTTTTTGTTGCAGGACACTCTCACGGGCCATTGCGCAAAAGTGATGGCGGCAAAGTTTCTCGGGGAGCCGTTGAAGGTGGTCACCGGCGGCTACGATCGCACATTGAAGATCTGGGACCTTCGTAGCCGAGCTTGTAAGTCTTTCGCCACACCATCACCGCCACACCACCACCCCGTCCACGAACCCGAGCTCGAGTACGAGCACGAGCCCGAGTCCGACCCCGCCCCCTCATTCGCCACTTTCATTACCCCACTAGAGCTGACTCTGAAAATTATTATTCCCCCGGTCGTTCCACTTCCTCCCATCAGGCCCTCCCCCTTACCCGCCCCTCGGCCCAGAACATCGCCAAGTTGCTCGGCACTTTCAACAACTCTGGTCAATGCCTGACGACTCGGCCTGCCACTCGCCCACCACTCCTCGTCCGCTCGATAAAAACTCTTCCTATACTTTATTGGGAATGGCGATTTTGCCGGGCGGCAATTATTTCAAGATAATGCGCGCGGATTCGCTTCAATTTGTTTAAAATTACTTCAATAATAGCTGCTATTGATCGTCCGTTCCTCTCGCAATAAGTCCTTTGGCTGCTAGCAGCCGATAAATTCACGCGCTCTTTATTTAATTAAACGGGAAATAAATTGTATCATCCGTAGCAGCGCTAAAGGGCAAAATACTATAATGCCGGGACACAAGGGGTTATCTAAAATCATGAAAGAGTCGTTTGAATGGCCTCAAAGGTGGGCTTGTTACGATAATTGGTGGCAATTGCACGTCCTCGTGTCCCGGTAAACGGAAAATTTGGCCGTTTGCCCCGCTACTGGAAAATCATTAGAAACACGCGAATACGGGAATACGGACTTTACGGTGACTCCCCAGTCACTCCGATTCCAATTACAATTTCTATTTTTATAATTGACCGTAACATTATGCCAGGCGATTCGACACTCTCGACATAATTATGCGAAGGAAAACAAAATACAAAAATATGATTCATATGCATATTTCACGGCCTTAATCGGGGATTATATCAGTCTACTACTCCCAATTATACACAATATCTAGTTATTTTACAACATTTCATTTGCGTATTATTGAAGTATTAAATACATCAGACTCGTTTTAAAATTAATGCAAAACTCATATGAAATAGAAAATGATTTAATTCCTAAGCGAAATTTTAATGAGGAAATTTACGAGAATTCGTGAGTAAGAGTATTATCACGCCACAATACACATTTAATACTCTAAAGTATTTCGTAGTTGCGCGCTTTAATGCACAACCACTCATTACATTAGCCGGCCAAATATTAAAATTAAATATAATTTACGATATTCCATCGCATCGGCTAATTGTCAAGTATTTTATTCATCTCGTTAATAAGCAGTGATAATCAATCCTTACAGAAATTGCCTATTAAATATATCAAAAAATCAACATATACGTAAATCAAAGAAATGCAAGCATATTTTTTGCGCGTTTAATGGCTACGCGATATAAGCTTAATTTAATTAAACAATATCGATCGGACGTTTGGGTGGCAATCGATCCAGTTGACACGATTCACCAGTAACAACTCTATTCGCCTCCAATTTGATAAGGTAAGTGAGGAGTTTTTTTGCCTTTGCCGACGCTCCATGTAATGATCGGGAGTTGCCACTCTTGTTAAGTAATTTCGAATATTTGCCATCGAATAAGCCCATCAAAAGTCCATTCGGCGCTCAAAAAATCTATTCAGTGCTTGAATACACGTGCCAAATAATATGTTGAAAAAGCTGCTTTTCGACTGGCGTAATCTTGCCGATCGACGGCTTCCAAAACAAAGTTTCACTCTCGATAATCACATCGACGTTCTTTGCAATTTCTCGCTCGACGTTAATTTGCTATTATTGTCTTGGGACTCGTCGTTAGCGATAACTCGAAACTCAATGATAAATAGTGATTTTGCGGCAAAACAATACATAACTCGTAATTTCATAACGGACACGAAAGCTCGCCGATTGTTTCGAAGTATTTGTAATAATTTATTGGAACGATAGGATGTCTTCCCTCGCAGTCTAAGTTTTGCGAGGTGAATTGGGGCGAGGAGCGGGCGTGGGGATGGACAAGGGATCGAGCGAGCGCAATGGGGAAACGTAGCGCGACTGAAAATGAGATAAACTTTGTTGTTTAGGAAGTTGGCAAAAGAGAAACTTGAGAAAATATCGATAAATCGCCGGCAAAGAATAAATCTGCTTTCGAAAAATCTACGTGAACGGTGCCTCTACCACCCGGGGAGATATGACGCAAAAGTTTCTCTGAAGATGCCGCTCCGCGCTTTACAAAAGAGTGCCCCCTCTGATAGTGGGCTAACGGCTATCTTAATGAATATCTCAAATTGCTTTTCCCTCTAATGAAAAGGTTATATAGCACCTATTTTTTATGCGTTTCGACATAATTTATTTCTTCGCCCCTCGTAATTAAAACTCAAGTGTTAAAAGTTTTCTTATTTGTTCGGTGTAACTCGGGTTCCGACACTAAATGAACCTCCCGTTAGAATCGACGCGAACCAGTGCCGAGAAGTCAGAGTAGTAACGATGCAATAACACCCGAGCAAAAGATCCTGTTTTCCACAAGTTGATGACTTTTATCAATGACACACTTTCATTATACCACCAACTATTATATAATGCACGCTCAATATTTAAAATAGGGAAAAAATTTTTTACATCCTTTTGAAATACGACTATATTTACGTTTATCGGTTGTAATTTTATATTTAGTTATAATGTACATAACTACCGGCATGAAAAATGGAGCTTCACGCACTCAAAAAATTCTTTACTCCGCATAAATAAACCTTTATGTTTTTGTTGTTTTTTCCACCTTTTTATTCGACCTTTTTTTTTTATTTATTTATTTTTTTTTTTTTTTTTTTTTTTTTTTTTTTTTTTTAATAATTCTTTGATTTTTGTGGTTCTTCATTATTTACAGTACCTGTAAATAATTTCCTTTCACGTTTATCAAAATTTTAATATTAAACTATTACATTATTAATCTCTATTACATCGTAAATTCACTTGCAATACTTTTGAATCAACATTTTTCAATTTGCGCATCCTCTGTCTCATCTTTACATTAGCGAAATACACTAATCTTATATTTTACAGATACATAAAAGTTACATATAGACCGTTGAAAAAATTATTTTCACATTTAATATTCAAAGTCTCTTAAAAGTAAACTATAAACTAATTCTTGACTACGATAAACGTATTTCTGTAAAAAAAAAACAAAAAAAACAAAAAAAAACAAAAACAAAAAGTAAAAACAAAACAAAACAAAACATTTCATTAGCCGACGCACGAATTATTTAAACTCGTACAACGTAGAAAATAATTATTAAAACAAAAAAAAAACCGATTCGTTTACTCTCGATAAATATTTATAATGGAGTTTAATGCATATTAAAAGTAATTTTACAATGAATTTCAAACTTTTTTTATTCTTTAATTTTCATCATCATTAATATCACTATTATAACATTGTTTTATTATAACATTGTTTCTTCTTTAATAAGTATTATATGAAAATGAAATAATTTTATTGCAACGGGATAAGTAATAAATTTGATTAATATAATGGGAAATTATAGAAATGACTGATTATAGAAATGAATGGAATAAGAACGTTTGAAGGATTTATATTACGATTAAGGGATATTAAATGAATAAGTGAAATACAAGTTATAACAATTTATCATTCGCTTCGTGCACGCCTTTTACAATGTAGACTATTTAAAGTCGTAGGGCTCTTATATGCGCTGCCCTTCGCTTTTGCCCTTGATAATGTAAGAATCGCGTTTTCTCGACAAAACAAAGTAGCGTCGGCGGCGGCGGCGGCGGCGGTGGCAACAGCAACAGCAGCAACAGTAGTAATAAAAAGTAAAATTATAAACTCGAGTCCGTCCAAGGCCCACTCGCACTCACTCCCAGCACACTCGTGAGTCTTATATTATAAAGAAAATAATCGTTCGACTGGATAATTTTGCTTCTGGCGTACGGCCTTTTAACGAAAGAGCCCTTCGCGAACTGAGCACACGGGAGTTTAAAACGCTGGGCAAAGTAACAAAAGCACCAACGGCGGCACCAAAGGTAAAAAGCCGCATCATCATAGCCTTGTGTCCGAGGTCGGCCGTTAAAACAAATCCATTCAACAGCATTTCGTCCTAAGGTCAACCATACTTATCGCTGAGAAATGTCAGTGGTGGTTTCTCGAAGCTGAGGAAGCGGGAGATAGGCGACGACGACGACGACGACGACGACGACGACGACGACAATGACAACGACGACGACAATGACAACGACGACGGCAACGACGACGATGATTAACCACAAGGTCGCGAAAATCATTACCGTATAAAGCACTGGCAGACGCGTGACTTAACTCTGCTAGAAGCGTACAAAGTGTTGGCGCGGGACCGGCGAAAAGTCGCTGAAAAATGGCATTAAATAAGACGACTAACAACCGCCAATGTCTACCTGCCGGGACTCACTTTTATCGCCGCCCGCTCTCTACTCAGATTATTCAGCGAAAAGTTAGTTTGCGCTTTATTCGCAGCACAATCGCGACTACGTAAGTAGTCATTCGACAATTTGTAAGGTCGTTCGTGAGAATCCGAGGGCTCGGCTATTTCTCGTCCGCCGAAGGTCGCGGCCTTCCGAGGGACGAAGGCTTTTTCGGCGACCACGCGCCAAACGAAAAACAGCTCAGCAATTCTTGACTGGCCGAACTTTTTATAAGCCGGGGCCAATTAAGCTCACCAATAGCTAATCCCGTGAACGACAAGCAAAGAGCTCGAGCTTTTCGAACGTTCGTATGGCCTTGTAATGCGTGGGCGTACATTTGTACCAAGCTTTTCTTTCGCCACGCGACTCACCGGATTTTAATTAAAATTCTCGCTGTTGCTGCCCTTTCGTTTCTTTGTTTGTTATTTTGAACCCGGAAGTACTACGAGGCCGGCCGAATGTTGCCGACAGTCGACAGGTTTTGGCGAGAACGGGTGTCGGCAGGGAAAAAATAATCATCGGTGAAAACATTATACAAGACTTGCTTGCTTGAACGTGCCGTGTAAACTTCAATGATTGACGAAAATCGGGACGCTCATAATATTATGATTAAATTACGTTTAATTCAAAATCGCAATGCGGCGCCTTTCTCCTCCCGCATAATTACATTAATATCACAAATGAAAAATCTCGCAACGATAGCTGATATTAAATACATATTTTGCTCCCTCTTTTTTTTCGGCTCCTCGCGCAAGACTTTCAATTAAAGCGAGCGCCTGGATAGCATCGTAATGAGAAAATACAATTACTAATTTTGTTATAGTTAAAAATATTTAAGCCTAAACTTGCCGAGAGAAATATTTTTAATTAAAATTCTTAAAGCTTGCTTTGAGCGCGGTTATAAAATCGGGAGGGTTTAATTTAAAAATTATTGTTTTATGCTGACTGCAGACCCTTAGCGAGGCGAGCGTCCTTCGTAATTTTGCGTGTCACGTGCGAGAAAGGGAGAAAGAGAAAGGGTGAGACAGCTGACATCGTTCTCCCGATTACCCTATCGGCTCTATCTTCCCATACTGCGACGAAATTGAAGCGCCTGCGATGTAAAACGTCGACATTCCTTTGCCCACGGTATGCCCCCCCCCCCGCCCTCCACTACCT